CAGGATGAAAAGGACTTTGATTGTTGGAAAGAGTCATCCTGAACCAGAAGCAGCAACTTGCAAGTACAACATGGCAAGAACAATCAGTCAAGCGCATGTGGTGCATCTGGTCCATCATGCTGACGACAGCACCAGCGCTTCAAATCTGCAGCGTGCCCTGTCAGAGAGCAAGATCCATCACTGACACCCCGAGGGGGCTCTAGGATTAGAAGGACTTTGACTCGCATTCCTCATCATCTTGTGCCTGACCCAGCACAGTTGGTATTTGTCCACACAGGACGGTCCGACACAGGATGCACCCATCAAGTTTTTGCATGCGGTGCATCTGGTCCATCATCAGAAGAACCCCTTCTTTTAGACCCCAAAGTGGCTGCAGGTACCGAGATGCAATTTCTGAAGGCGTTCTCTTTGGACAACATCATTCCATGAAACAAAAACGAGCTCTGTGAACTTATTCAATATATCGTGCGAAGCAAACGATCGCACCCGAAGTCGATCAGCTCGAAGAAAAACGATGCCACGCAGCGGCGGCAAACGGCGCACCCTTTTGCAGGACAAAGTCCCACCCGTCTAGAGGTGGAAACAGTTGCGGTATGCGAACCTGTGAACCTGACTCACCTCAAAGGCAAGCCTTCCAAGTGACATGCAGTCATCTTTACATGGGGGAAAAGGAGCTTGCAGGTGAGTTCGCTACCGAGATCGAGCCTTCGTCATTCAGGCTTCGAGTCTCAAGCCAAGTGCAAATCGCTGTCCTGAGGCTGGTGCCTCCAGAGATTTGGACATGATCGGGCGGCAAAATGCGGCCACTGCACAAGGCACAAGGTTCAAACAAATCTACGTTCCTCCCGTCACGGCCTTCGAGGGAGCTGCATCGAGGATCGATGTGGAGCTTGCGGCCATGCTTTGCCACATAGATTCCACGGTGGAGTGGGCACTCCAGCCTATGGCTGTCCATCTCAGCCAGGCACTGGCGCAGGATCGCGGCGGCACGATCTCTGCCCTCAACCTGCGAGAGACTGGTGTTTCGTCAGTCTGGGTCGCAGCATGGGAGAACATGGCCAAGGCAGGTACGTGAACTTTGGCACGACTCCATCGGCCCAGCATGAAAAAGGTGCCAAGGAGCACACAACACACAGTGCACAGCATCATCATGAAGCTGTCTCCTCCAGCCGGGTTTGCCGATTCTCCAGTGGCGTCAGCAGCGACACCGGGCAGCAGCAGCAGAACCATAGTCCACACCATGAGGTTCTGGAGGATGGCTCGGAACTACCGGGTGGTCATTCAGTACCACAAAGGTCTCTTCAGACACCAGGGCATACTCACAAGCCTCAAGCAGGTAAGAGACTGTGGCATTCGTGACTGCCATGTGGACATATTCAATATGGTTCTCATACTCAGGCATGCCATCGGGGAGGGAGTCATTCTCAGGGAGCTCAGTGCCAGCTGTGGGAAGTGCTTGATGAGGTTCATCCAAAGGTGGTGAACTGAAAGTGCTCTCCTGCAAACTGGCCTTCAACTCATCTTTGGTCTTCTTCTTGGCGGCCTTATACGTTGGGTCCCAGATGAGCTTCAGCTTTCCGTAGCGCAAGCGTTCAGCCAGCAAGCCACGGGCGCTTTCTTTTGTAAGGCCATCAGCCAGTTGCCTCTCAGATGACATCCATCTGAGATTGCCTCCAAGGGCGAGGAGTCTTTCTTTCATCACCTTCACCTCCAGCGAGACTCGCTTGTCCACAACGGAGCTGCTGTAGCCTTCTCGATGAAATGAATCATACAAGGCTTTGGCGTCCGTGATCATCGTTGGTTCCAGGGTGGACTTGCAGTCGAGCAACCCCTTGAGCTTCCGACGGGGGTCAAGCAGGCCATTCCAGTATACACAGACATGCTCCAGGGCGTCGCATGCCTGACCACCTCCTTGGGCTTCAGCACCAAGCGATGACCGAGCGACTCGAGGAGTCTTCTGGCTTCTCCAGTCGAGGATGTGGTATGCCCCTTCAACACCATCAGGACGAAGGAGGGACTTGTTGACCATCAAAATGATATAGCCAAGCTGGGAGCTGCCATCGGTACGAGTGGCGAATGCTGCATCAAAGAAGCAAAGGAGGCGTAAGTCCTGGACTTCGCCAAGGTGTTCATACACCAGCCCTACATCGGAGTTGTCCTTGCTGAACTTCAGGAGCTTGTTGCAATCCATCAAGCCAAGCAATGCTCGAAGTTGTGTCAGGTCACGCTCGGAGATGATCTCATTGACATCACGGCGTTTGTCGATTGTGATGGGCTTGATCTTCTTCATATAGTTGTCCTGTTGTATCTTGTAGCCCTTGTTGTCCGTGAGTTGGATGTCACAGCCACAATACGACAAATCAGCGCCATCTTGTCCAGTTTTCGAAGGTGGTCTTCAGCTTGGAGATCATCGATCCATAGGCCTGGGAATCTTCAGAGCCGCAGCCCAACATGTCATCAACATGCATGATGATCATACCACATAGGCCGCAAGGTCCCAGCAGGTGTGGCTGTTCTTGATCCGCAACGAAGCTCGGATTGAGGTCAGCTTCATATGCCAGGAAACAGCATGGATCCTGAGGATGTTGTTTCAGACCCATGTCCAGCAGCTTGTCCACAGCAGCCATGTACCAGGAACGTGGAGCGTTGATCTGGCCGTAGCAGGGCTTCAGAAGAAGCATCCGAGCGTCGGCAGGGGCTCCCATTCCAGGCATTCAGGAGGTAGCTGCACCCATAGTTTTCTGCTCTGAGGTTTTCCTTGTAGGAAGGCGGTGGCAATGTCTGATGTCCAAACCGGCCATCTCATAGTTGCAGCCAAGCTCAGCAGACAGGAGCGAGAGAGCCGTGTCGTGGTTGGTGATGAAGTGGGCACAGTGCCATCCCAAGCATCTGGGTCCATAAAGCCGCGGACGATGAGCCTTGCCTTTGCTCTTGGTGTTCCGTCCGGGTTCTTCGACCACTTCAGCAACATCCGGCTCGTCAGTGTTCGAGCGGGTTCAGCTTCTCTCACGCTCTCGAAGGTCCAGACCTGGTTCTCGAAGAAGAACTTGAGCTCTTTCACTTTTGCAGCTTTGAATTGAGCTCGCTCATCAGGAGTCATCGTTCTCTCGGTCAGGTTGTTCTTGTCCTTCTTGAACGCCTTTGCATGGCGCTGTTTGGTCATCTTTCCCATTTGACGGGCACCGACCAAAGGTTCCTTCACATACATGGCGAGCTCCTTCCGCACATCACCCTTGATTTGGAACACGGTCACACCTGTCCAGGAAGAGCTCGTGGGAGGTGAAGTGCACGTGCCATCATCTGTGAACTGCTGACAGTGACCATTGGTGGCATAGACCACAGTGACCCTGACATTGTCCAGCTGAGCTGCCGGAAAAGGTGCATCCTTTGGCAGGTGTGCCAAGCTCATCTTCTGCCGACGAGGTACGACATGATGACGAATCATGCACCCAGCACGAACTTCCCAGTAGTCAACGGGATGCTTATCCAATTGGAAGTAGCCTTCTTCAAAGGTCCAGCCACGAGGCAAGCAGTTAGCCACCAGCTCGTTGATCATGAAGTCTTGCGATGCAAGGGCGGCTTCCAGCTCTGCATCTGCCGTGGGCGGCGTGGGCTCTGCTGTCGAGGACGGAGGTGCTGTCGGATAAGGATCAATCGCAGGATGTGGTCTGCCTCGCCAAGGACCAAAACTCAGGGTCTCTTGTCGATTGAAGCGATTTCGTCTCTCCTGAAATGTCTCTGCATCAACGGTGTCGTACAGTGCAGCAGTTGCTGGGTCCAGAGCTGGTCGAGGTGGTTGTGCATGATGTCGGCTCAGCACCTGGCTCTGGAATGCTGGGAGGTGGAGAGCGAGACCTTCTTGAAGTCGGTGAGGCTGGCAAGGAATCGGGCACAGGCACTGGTTCAGGGACCTGGGCTTCAGGGATTTCCTGCTCAGCCAGAGGCGGTGCCATGATTCCAGTCGGAGATGTTGGAACATACCCTGAGTGTGCTGGAGAAGTGGGCTCATACTCTTCTGCCTGCAAATCACCATCCATGGGTGGCTGTAGACGAGGTCGATGAGCTGGTGGACCTTGTGTTGAGTCATCGTCCAACGAGCCATGTGGGTCATCCAGCTGTTCATCGTCATCAACATCGTCCAGACGTTGCCTGTTCACTCGTTGCAGGTCATACCATCGGGTGACTCCACGAGATTTCAACTGGCGCACCAAATTCAAGGCCTTTTGCAGGTCGTCAATGCCATTCTCATCCTGGAAGAGCAACATGGCCTGTTCGGCCTGCAGGGCCATTCCTTCGGTGGTCGTGGAGCTTGGTGCTGGCCTCTTGTTGCTCGGTGATGAACTTCCTTTGGGGTTCTGAGGGCAGTTGGCCGCCCAGTGGCCCACCTGTCCACAACGAAGGCAGGTCATGTTGGCTTTCGCTCGGCCCTTGGGATCGCTCTTGCCACCAGAGGAGGGTGGATAGCGGATCACATTTGATCCCTTGCCCTTGGGCTTGCCCTTGCCTTTGCCACGGCCTTTGTCTCGGCCTTTTCCAGTGGACGTTGATGATGTAGGAGAGGTAGAAGTCTGTCCATCTGTGAGGGCAACCACCGGCAGATAGCCACGGGCAAGCTTGAGCTAGTTGAAGCGCTGTCGAGCATCAACGTAGGTGGCATAAGCTGAATCATAAGCTTCAGCCAGTTGAGATGGATCATCTTCGAAGCCCTCGAGGTCATCATTGGGGTCATCATCGCCAAAGTAGACAGCGTCTTCATCGAAGGCAGTCTCCTCATACTCAGGGACATAGGGCTCTTCATTCTCATACCAATCCTCCTCATAGTATGCCTCTTCCCAAGTAGGGTCGTGAGACTCTTCATCATAGGCAGCATAGCCGCGTCCCTTCCATCGCTGAGGTCGTCGGTCATTGGAGTTGGACCATCCACCAGCCTTGTAGTCCTGACCGTACAGGAGGAACAGTGCTTCAACAACCGAAGGCTTCTCCAAGGTCGGTGCTTTGAGTGTCACCATCTGTCTCTGTTCACGTGTGAGGCTGGCTCGTTTGAGCAAATGCCAGCCCTGCACCTGACTTGGGAGCGTGATCTTATGGCCGGTGATCTTCCTGTAGGCCTCGTCATGGTCGGTGACGAAGGAGAGCAGGCTCTGCTGAGGCTTTCGCTGGAGGTTGGTGAAGTAGCCTTCAAAGTCATTCGGAAGGAGGACCCTGTCGTCGTACTCGAAGTTGCGATCAAGGCGTTCCAAGATCTTGCTGAATGCCCCCTCCTTCTCATAATCCTCAACAGGATAATCCTCGAAGAGGCGCCAAACCACCCCTTGGAATGATCCAAGGATGTTCAAGACGGCTTCACCGCCCCTCTTGCTGAGGAGCATCTTCTTCTGGTAAAGGAGGAGCCGCTTGCGGTACTCACGGTACTCGGATGGTTGGCCATTGAACAGCGGAACGTAGGAGTCGCGCAGGTTCTGGTAGTCTGCGCTCTGGGCTTCTGCAGCCTGCGTCGTAGTCGTCGGTGGCATGAAGTGCAGGCTTCACCGATGTGCTCTGGTTCGAGGAGGGCCAGGAGCTCGGCAAAGCGTTCGTGACGTAGGTCTTCCGCAGGACCTCGAAGGTGAAGACACAAAGGTCGCAAGGAGCCGTAGCTCCGCTACCAATGCGAAGCAAACGATCGCACCCGAAGTCGATCAGCTCGAAGAAAAACGATGCCACGCAGCGGCGGCAAACGGCGCACCCTTTTGCAGGACAAAGTCCCACCCGTCTAGAGGTGGAAACAGTTGCGGTATGCGAACCTGTGAACCTGACTCACCTCAAAAGCAAGCCTTCCAAGTGACATGCAGTCATCTTTACATATCGATATATATATATATATATCGGGTATATTCGGAGATCCTTTTTATATCCTGTGTTTACTGTTTTGATTGCCCGGCTACCTGAACCTCGCTCCTTTCATTCACAGATAATGAGGTTATTAATGGTTGTTATACAATATACAATGACAATATCACATGGATCACTGACATGGTCGTGAAGCCGTTGGTACGTGAGCGGCAAAAGATTCAATCCATCCACAGGCTGTTTCCCCTTCGCACAGACCTTTCTGACTGCCTGGTTCCCATGTTCAGGGCCAGCTACCACCCACCCTTCCCCTCGCATCTGCCATGATCTCTGTAGCTTTGCATAGAGGGCCGAAAAAGCCAATCTGCAAGCTTGAAAACGTGCAGCAGCTTGACATGGTCATTTTTTCTGTCATCAACTGCCAGCTCTAGTGGCGGTCCAAGTCGAAGGGCTTCGCCACCTGTGGCTTTGGTGTCTCCAACAAACCCAGCTGACGACCTTGCTTTGGTGGAATAATCATGAATAATCCACAGTCGTCTAACAATCTGAAAAACGATGAAAACCATGAAGTCCCCTTGTCCTGAAACTGGATTGAGATGGGAGTCATTGTCCAACGCTCAGTGAACAGCTAGCAGGGTGCCCCACCGCTCGGTGGAAAACACCGACCGTTGACCGACGGGCCGTGGCCGGGTGGTGGCCGATGGTGGATGACATGAGGAACCTGAAGAGTTGAGGATGACCGTTCTTCGTGCAGATCTACAGGGATGGCCATTTACTCTAACTATATCGTAGGAATCTTCTACATATTTATATATAGTACCTCAGTCATGAAAATGGGTTGCCTCCCATCTCTTGTGAAGGGTTTGCCCACAACTTTAGCAGTAATTATTTGACCGCAAATATCCTCTGTCTGTATCGGTCGGAAGGTATTGCATTCTGCAAGACTAATCACCACCACCAAACGTGACTCCTATTTATTGTTGTTTGTGGCTGTTCATGTTTGTTTGCCTGGAGGCAAAATGAAGAACACGCCTGCTGCCCCGTACAGGTGAATGCAAACCCTATATATTTACCTGAACCCAATTATAGCCCCCAAACACATCAACTGTGTCCAGTTCCAAAATCTCTTCAGTTTCATCGATGGAACGTCTTTCACACAAATTGACCCATGACCCATGACATCATCGTCTTCCATGGACAGCACTGACCCATCGGGTCACTTCCGACCACTGCTCCGACCAGACTGACCTTCGAGTTCGCGGTTTTCGAGTCGCTGAAGAAGTTCGTGGCTGAAAGTTTCTGGGCCTCCCAAACACGGTGAATTCGAGTTGTCATGCAACAAAGAGTGTTCATGCAAATATCGTTTGGATTCCCTGGGCTTGTTCCGCCTTTTGGTTGTCAACGTTGCAACAAAACAAACTGCACGATGTGATTGACTGAGACACTCACCTTTGGTAGAGGCGCTTTGTTCGTCAGTATTCGCCGCTTTGCAGCTCTCCCCTGACGGCCAACACTACTCCCTTGTCATTCCAAAAAGGCTGACACTGACACGATGACTTCGAATGTACCGATGTGCCAAGCCGTTTACATCAAGTCCTGGCACGCACAACTTGCACGGAACGACTGGGAGAGGCTCCCCGCAGCGACTTGATGACTTATGCGTCTTCAGACCTCGAGCTTCTCGAAAGGGCGCCCCAGCTTTGCCTCGGCCTCGCATCGTCGCGATGTCGGGAGGCGAAGGAGCCTGCGAGCTTCGGGTCGGTAGCGCTTTCAACCGGGGACCCAGCCACCAGTCTCACATCGTTGGGCTTGATGGGCGAAGCGTCGGGCCTTGGCCGAAAAGAAGCCAACACAGTAACTCGCCATTCTCTTGAGGAAGGCCTTACAGTGGAGTAATTCAGCTGAAAAAAAGGGCGTTTTGCGGATACATGGCTCCGGCAAGCCTACCTCTTCACTCAATGCAGCATATTATGTAATGAAACTCAGCTGGACTCTCAGCTGGACTATCTAACTGCATGGTACGTACATGTACGTACCTTCATGATCCTTCATGCAACAATTAAGCCCCACCTGGCGGCAGTCTTCAGAAGCTCGGCTGCTTCTGCACAGGCGGCCTTGGGCAGTCGTGCAGCGAATCATGAAACCTCCCAACTTGCCAACACATTCGGTCTGGGACGGTCTGGATCTATGATGTTCATATATATATATTCATTGATATTCTGTGATGGTCTATGCAGATGCTCTACATTCGCATCCTTCTGCCCCTTCTTTTTGGTTTCGCAACACCTCCTTGATCCACGACACGACAGGGTGACACTTGGTGACACCGAGAAGTGCCACGCGTCTTCCGGACGAGTGCCCCAACTCCCAGGAGCAGGTCCACGGCATCTTCCTCCCAGTCATCTGCACCTCTGAGGTGCCCATCGTCTCTGCACACGTCCCTCCCCCGTACTCGTGGCGGTCAAACAAAAAAAGAGCTGAAAGAACTCCGAACTCCGAGCTCATGCTTCAGCGTGCCAATGTGATTTCTGAAAGATCCAAACGAATTAGTGGCACCACCCAGCCAAATTCCTTGCACATCTTCACAAGCAGTGCACGAATATGCATGAATTGCAAATAGGATTCAGCAGCCACCGTGCGGACCATGCTGTACCGTGCTTTACAATCTTACAAAGTCCGTGGGTTTCGAGGTCAACTGAGAATCTGATACAGCAGCATGCCTGAACTATGATTCAATGTACAGAACCTAAGCATTAGAACAGCAGGTGACTTTGGAGGTAAGTCTTGACCTACATCTTTCTATACGGCTTTGATGGCCCTTGAGTGTTACCCGAAGTCGGGAGAAACATCCAGTCGCTCTCTTCCCCAGCGCTCAATGCAGCGGCTCGCTGCCGCTGCAAAAGCAGCTTACAGCTCAAAGCTTCGGAGCTTACAGCTTAAATGATACCGTCTTGCCCCTTCAGCCCAAGAAGCTCTGAAAAGCGTTGAGAATCGCTGTGATACTCAAGCTTCTTCAGCTTCAAGGAACAATGTCCAAGTGAACTTTGCACTTCCTTTTCAGCTCGTTCAGCAACCGATTGTCCACATCCTGTCAGCTCAAACGTGTCGAAAGCACAAATCAACACACAGAAAAGTGCTGGCTTTGCTGGCTTTGCCTCCAAGTAGTAGCCATGGAGCTCTTGAAGATCCAAATGGCTCAAAGCTCGAAGCATCAAGTTGTCGCAAGCATTGTAAATCCTGGTCCAGTCAAGAGTGATCTATCAAAGAAATTGTGGTGGCATCAAGAAGGGATAACAACAAGGGCTCGAAGAGACAACAAACACCAAAATCACATGCGTGTCCACCGAGAGACCCCCACAAACGCACATGCTCTAGCTGCTTGCAGCTCTGAAAGATTTGCAGCAAGGCCTCCTGAACAGCAAAGCTAACAAAGGCACACGTCAGCTTCACGTCCACAATAAACATGTAGGGGTAGGAATACCCCCGAGGTCCATGGTTTATAGAGGAAATTCAATCCCTTAATATAATAGTCATTTATCATGTAACATGCTCGAACCCGGTCAAATCGATGTCCACACGTGTAAGCTTGCAACATCTTGCAACTAGATCCAACCAGTGATTTTCTTTTGATGTATATTTGTCCACGCTGGGTCTGTCCAAGCAGGCAAAACAAATTCAACATTCAACGGTCACGCAGCCTTGAAGGGTTCGGGCGGCGTCAACTGGCCGTGACTGCTAAAGCTGATGGCTGGAGGAAAGACCTGGCAAAGTGCAAAGCGACGGAGACAAGGGAGACGGAGGATGACGGAGGAATATACTTGAAATGCCTCTTCAAAACATTGACAGTTCAAACTCTTTTAATGTTGAACATTGACAAAGCACGCAAAGCACGTAGCACTATGTTGAAGTTGCAGCCCAGAAGCCTCTAGCATCTTCAGTGTCTTGAATTTTGGAATTGCCTCGACGGAGTTCGGGACTCTGGTGGACTGTCTTCGTATACCCCGATTAAACATTATTAAAGCATCAACCTATATTATATATATATTTAATAGCAATGGCCTCCAACCTACTTGCATAAACCAAGCAAAATCCAAGACACCTGGAGGTCGGATAAGCTTGGCAGGTGAAGAACCAGGGTTTCCAGGCGTTTTGCTTCGGCACACAGAAGCGTTGAGGGACCCAAAAGTTCCAGATGCTTCAGCTGATGGGCTGATGCGAAAGCACGAGCTGATGCCGGTGGGCTGCGAATGACCAGCTTTTCGATTTGGCTCTGAATGGTCAAAAGCTCTTTGAATGCATGATGGCTGATGCGGCTGCTTTCCAACAGCACACACCGTAAGGATCCATGGCGCAAACGTTTCAAGGCCAGCATCAAATCAATATCTCCCGGTTCAGTGTGGCCCCCTAAAGGGCTCCATTGAGAAAAGTCGACTGATCGCCAAGCTGAAGAGTTGTAGGCCAACTCCATAGCCTGTCGGCAGCTAGCACCACAGACCTGCAGACCCTTCCGGCTTAGGTACTTGCCCAGGCCCTCAAAGAAAGAGGACTGCAAAAATGATGTGGGCAGCATCTTGCAGTGAGCATACTGGAAGCTTTTAGCTTCGGTTGGAATCAAATCCACCTTCCTACTCTGAGTCTTGGGCCTCATTCTATTGGCAAATGCATGCAAATGCTTTTTACATCTTTTTACAGTACAATTCCTGCAAAGCACATCTGAAAGCAGGTGCAAAACCACAACAAATCCATGCCAGGCAAACCAAGACTCACCAACAGGCGTCCAATTTCCTTGCGCGCAGCCTGGCCACAGGCCGCGTGTCAGTTTTGGCCAAGGATCGGTCGGACACATTTTTGTTCGCTGTTGGTGCACTCGTTGGCTTGATTCAGATTTGCTTTGCAAACGGCTTTGCTGAATCTTGTTACCGATCCTATCCTAAATCAAATTAGCGTCCTTCTGAATCGTCCTCCTTCAGCTTGGGATAAGACTCACTCCAAAGTCCGTGGCCAAACCATCTTTTGCCGGATCCAACGCCAGCGCGGGGGAGGTCGCATCCGGTGGAGCCTGCGGCGTGGGCCATTCGGTCGGCAAGGCAGTCGCACCTTCGATGGCTTTGGGCCAGGCGCTCAGGGCGCTCGGATCGACCGTCACCGGCGACGGCTCCAAGCGTCGCGCGGCGCGATGGGCGCGATGGGACATGGGCTGCATGGCCAAAACGCTCCGGAGCCAACGACAAAGCTCGAGGCGGCTGTACATCATGGAGAAATCAGGCAATGATGTGTGAAGGCGTTTGGCCAAAGTGCTTTCCATCACATGGGAGTATGCCTTTTGTACCGCACGCCCGAACATGCCACAACCCCAATCAACATAAACACAGGCCTCAGGATCTATGTTGACGCCCACCACTTCTCCCAAGCCACTTCGCCAAACAAAAGCACTCCAATCAGGCTGACAAGCAAAGCATATCATACCGGCGACAAAGGCCATAAGCCTAATGATGCAACTCTCTGCCAGCTTCACAGCCGACTGAATGGAGTGCATAGCTCGTTGTAGTAATTTTTGCTCCAGGGTCTCCGCCATCTCAAAAACATCCGAGTCCTTTAGATCCATCAAAGCAGTAGAGTACTCAGCCAATACATGTATTTGCGAGTCGAAGTGCTCCTTGTACCCCAAAAATGCCCTTCGCTGAAGGGCTTCCAGGTTGGAATTGCAGCATGAGGAGTTTCCACTCCAAAGCTTGCATCCCAGTAACTGGTGAATTCTTGGTCGGGCTTCCAACTGAGCAATGTCCAGTTCACCAGTGTACCATTGGCCACGAAAGAGTGGATTCATGCACTCAAAACTCGTGTCATCGGCTCTCTTCACAAGAAGCTCCTCCGAACGAGCTTTCACAAGGATCAACAAAAGTGTCAATCTGGTCGATCCCATGTTGTCAAAGCCATGCTCATGTGGTCAAAGCTGTGGTTCGTGGGTTTTACATAGGGTATCAAACGGCATTGTGCTGGCTTGTGACATGAGAGCCTTTGTCAACGGTCTGCCACAATACAGCACATAACATCAATATGTATGTGTATATATATATATATGATATGATATGATGTGATTTGACAGGAAAACTACAGGGTCAAGCGACGGTGGTCTGAGCCAACTTCGGGTAGAAGGAAACGTCTCACAAGAACGCTGATTCAAGTGTCTGGTACCTGTGTGTATATATATATATGTTCCTTTCCAGTCTCTTAGACCCTGTACAGTACTGACCATTGCTCGCCGTTCCATGGGACTGTAAAGGAAGTACATGTTGTATATCATGGGCTGCGTTGAATCACAATTCCAAACCCAGGAGGGCGATAGCCATATAGGAGCTGGAGCCCAGCATTTGCTTGTGGACCTTTGATGATCTTTGTCTGTTCTTTGACCTCGTTCTGATGAGCATTCTCCATGGAAAGACCGATCTTCCTATCTCACATCCTTCGACTAGTGATGTTTTGTGATGGAGCTTCATATATAATAAATGCATGTAATTATACAGTATACCCAACAAACAGTATGTTGATGACCTTTGCCAAACAACCATTGTTGTTGTTTTATTCTTTAAGGAGATATATCCTATTTAATATGATGTAAAGTAGAGGCAAAGAAAGGCAACGGGGCGTTTTTCATTCATCATCCATTCGATCCGCCAGGACTCAGCATCCAAACCCTGCCTCTTCAACCATGATTTGGTGTCAACCACATCACGCCTTCCTTTGGGCTTCAGGAGCTACGCGTTCGGCGTTCCTGTCCGATACATACAGTACCTTGCTCTGGGGCTGTCATCCCTGCCACCAAGATGTGCTTGAGAACCTCACCACGATTTTACTACGTAGCATGGTGTAGATTGCGCATCCTGCGTCTTAGAGTCTAAGGTGTCTACAATAAATATTTGCTCACATTTGGCCAGCCACTGTTGCTTGATGGCTTAAGGCTTAAGATCGCCAGCGACAATTTGATGTCAACAGTCATCTGTGCAACCATGTACAGTCTTCATTCTGGAACCTCCAGTGCTTGACCTCCTACAAAATCTGCAAATCTGGAAGCAAGAACCCTTCAAGGTTGCCACTTCTTTGCACATATGCCACTGAAGTAGGCGTAGTCCCTAGGGACTGTCAAAGCCATGGAGTTGCCATGGCGAAGATGCCATGGACGTCTAATGGAGATCGAAGCAAGAGGCGAACCAACGGAGCCAATTGACCAATCTCATTCACGAACAACACATGGCACCTCAAAGCCAACAAAAACCGTCTCGTCACACCATCTGGTCAGCCCCAAAACACCGAGGGCCATGGGCCAGCGACTCCGACCTCTTGCAAGCACCGGTGTCCGGTGACCGACACCGGTCCGCCGCTCTCACTCGCCGAAGGTCGCCAGCCCGGCCTGCAAGGGGTCAGTCTGCACTGCTGGGGTCAGAAAAGCCAGCCTGATGGCGTACCTAGAATTGAACCCGCTTCCGGCCAAGGCCGAGGTTCTCGGCCTTTAGCAGGCTGATGGGCTAATAGCCTCATGAAGGTTCTTCAATTGACATTGTAAAGATCTAACAATTGACATTGTAAAGATCTAACATATTAAAATTCTTTTTCACATGAGTCGGGAAGGGTACAAAATAAATTGACAAAGTATCCCTCAAATGTCTTCAAAAATATTCAACAATCTGAATCTTTGAGATTTGCTGAGGTATCCACCCATCAATTTCCTCCCTGGCATGTTCTTGCTGCTTCACCCTGGCGGTGACCGTGCCCCGCTTGGGATGGCAATGGCATAACCGTGCTGCATGACCGTGCCTGGCGTTTGCAATTCGAGCCAAGGAAGGCACTGAAGCAGTGCCCTCCTGTGGCACCTGCCTGGCCATTGTTGGCTCGTCAAGTGAAACCGACTATCGACAGTTGTCTCAAATATCGATTACTATATAGTGTTATTTGTATAATCACCAACTATATGCTATGGAAAGTACACTTGCTAGCCTGACTGTTCCTTTTCGTGGTGTCTGTGTGGTCTCCGTGCTCTTTCTTGGCTGCTCGCCTCTTGCTTTCACTTACGCACTCACTGTCTGTGCTGCACTGACCATCGGCTACTTTTTGTTCAGTAGTTGGTTGGTGCTTCTAGTTAATTGCTTCTATGATCTTCTATGCCGGATTATGCGGGCGAACCTTGGTCTTTGTTTGCTTTCTTGCGCGGAGCCAATCTGGAGTGTTTTGTTCGGGTCTTTTGAACAACAATACTTCAATAATATGCGGCGTCGGTCCATCTTGTAATGTTGCCTCCACGACTTTCCTTACTTGCAGTTCATCGGTTTATTGGAGTCATCGGTTTTCCATGCACTCGGTTGTCACAGTTCGGGTGGAGGGACACCATGCCCACTGGAAGAAAGTTTGTCTCATGATTTCCCCCGCTTGCTCAGCGGTTCAGATGCATGCGACAAAGCCGTGCATCGGCTAGCCCCTGACATGAGTGTAGCGACGATCAAACAAATCTTGCATCGGCTTCCGGCTTTCCAAACGAACTTTCCAAGAGATTCTAAGAGCAATTACTTGGTCTGGAGTTTGCAGCCTCCGCTTGCGCCCTGGCTTGATTTGCTGCTGTTCCCAAAGTGAAGCGAGGGCTGCATGCGTCCTCCTCGCGAAATGAGTTCTGGTTTGTTCAGTCGGGAAGCCTCTTATGCATCAAGCGTTGCCCTTTTTTGGTCCTTTTTGTCTTGTAAGAGTCTTGGAACTCTATACATTGTTTCGTCCGCATGGCATTGGCATCCTACCTCCGCCAGGACCAGGACAGCTAACCAACAAGTGAAACACAAAAACTACAACAGTTGCATTAGTCTGCTTGCTGCCAGATTATTTGCATATAATTACTCTATTGTCTCTATTAGCTTCAGCTCTGGTCCAAGGGAGGGCTGAAATGGCTCAGGGCCGGCAAGGCCGCAAAGCTCTGGGAAGCTCTGCGAAGCTCGCAATCGATCAGTGTGATCACATCAGTCAGCATTTTGCGTCATCCGAGTCCTAGTGACAGGAATCCTCACCCTGCGCTGTTCGCAGGTCCGGGGTCCACAGGATCACCGTGTGGGTGAGAAAAGGCTCACCGTCACGGATGGAGCGACTCTGGAGGTTCTCGAGTCCACTGGCTTGATCAATGGTTCCGCGCCTGACAAAACATGGTGATGAATGATGTGGCTCGGCCGGCATGGTCAGCCATATTTCTGTAAAATTCCAATAAACACGGAAATGGAACATCCAAAATCTCAGAATACAATATAATATTCAATAATCAAATGCAAACCATTGCCTGATTCAGAACCAAAGCTGCACGCCAGGAAAGTCTGCAGACTCCAGCGACTCCAATCTATTACCACCCAAATCCAGAGACTCCAACCTCGGTTTCGTTGTGTTAGCATTCGATCAAAAAGAAAGAAAAGCATCGTCAAGCGCATGAGAATTCGTGGCGCAAACGAAGTAAAGAAGTGACTTCGATTCCAACGACTTTGGTTCAAACCCTTGGCATGAAGAAACAGGTCACTGAGAGCGCGGCCGAAGTGAGGGCAAGAGTGCAGCAAGCGCCTGGAAAACACACATATCGACAAATTATCCCAAGTGATTCCGGTCATGACGATGTATTTACAATGCATACTCATCCGTTGCTAAAAGGAAAAGAACACCTGGTTTTTTCTCCCGTTTCCTTTGCAGGCCCATCTCATGAACGCTGCACCTCTGCAGACGCTGTGGTGAGCTGGTTGCCACGAAGGTTCAAACGACATAACTTCGAGGAGCCAGTCCGTTGAATGGCTGAAATAAGAACGGCCAGTCCTGGCACTCTCGGCACATGACTCAAGACTCTATGACAAGTCGGCAACCCTGGGAAGAATGAACTATTGTGAAATCACATAAAAAGTATACACACATATGATGCGCGTATACGCTCTAGAAGAAACAAACCAGCAGGGCTGTGAATCTTCGCGTCTGGGTCCTTCATCGCTGATGTCATTCCCACCCAAGTGTAGCCGCTCCACCCGAGCACCCAGCAATGGCCAAGCAGAAGCAACTGCCTTGGCTACCTGATCCCCAAGCTGCTGTCCACCCAAATCCAAGACTCCATCATGGGGGCGAAAGACCTGCTCGGAGAAAAACATATCAAATGTCTTGAAGCAAGCACACACACAATATATCAAACACAGAACAGAACCATGGCTTCAATGAACCGATTTATATTATTTCTCCCTTGAAACTTGGAATGTACTTTTGGAAACTTAAACGCAAACATCACCACTCCCAAAACAGTGCCCGAGACTCGGGAAACTGTTTGACTGATTATCCAGAATTTTGAGCAGCACTTTGAACTACTTGGGAACTACGCTGTTGGTCGCCTGGGTATTATTGGTGGTTGCGTGATGTATCCCAATAGAAGTGCGTGCACGACGAAAAGGGGCCGAAAAGTGCAATGTCAGAAACTACTTTTTTTCTCCTCATTCGGACCTCTTGAAGTGGTCTCGGTCAGCTAAAAGCACTTGTAGCAGCTGGACACAAATATGTCTCTGCCAAGCGCACAGTTCATTCGCATTTTCATTCAACTCTCTTAAAAAAAACACCTCTCTCACTTATATCAAAGTCATCCAAGCAACCCCACTGAGCAGCGAACAAACACAAGAGCATAATTGATTGAAGACCTGATCTACTAAAGATCTACTAAACACCTAGGACCTAGGGGGCTGGGGCCTTACATCCCTTGCATCATCCACGTGGCATCATCAACGTAGCGTCCAAAGTGTGCGCCAGCCCACATGGACGTTATTAGCCCCCACCCCACCCCATCCCCGCCCCACCCCAATCATCCACGTGGCATCATCAACGTAGCGTCCCAAGCGTGCGCCAGCCCACATGGACGTTATTACCCCCCACCCCATCCCCATCCCCACCCCACCCCATGCACTCCGTGGCAAGTCATCTCATCACCCAGTACACCTCAGTTTCCACCAGGCGACAGGCAGCGCTGTTGGCAACTACTTAGAGCGTCTGGGTCCCTGGGACCCTGATGTGTCCAGGAAACCCTGATGTGTTCAGGAAAGGGGTGGGATTGACTAACCCTTGGAATGCAAGGCCTGCTGGTCCAAAACTTGGAAGCCATGGCCTCTTTAGGCCATGGCATGGCCATGCTGTTTCTCAGGGTTTTGACCGTGAAAGCATGCGCAGCTGGCATCGGGCCCCAAGGTGAGCTTCGGGCCCCAAGGTGAGCCCATCAGGGGAAGCGAGAAAGAAGACCCACTTGGAATGGAATGTGTGACGCACCGGAACCCAGATCTTTCAAGGTTCCCCACTTGAACAGTACAATATGAAGTTCCTAGACTGTGTCCAACAGGTGTTCAAGGGAAATATGGAACATGGCAAGGGAAGCTTGCATGTGTGAAATGCCTCACAACTCACAACAAACACAATGTTTAAAGGGCTCATGAAAAGGAAGGGAGCGGAGAAGGCAGGGGATAAACAGAAGGTAAGGGAGGGAAAGGGCAGAACCAGGCAAGAAAAGGGAAGAACATAGTCAGGATGGGAAAGCATAAAAGGAACGGAGGAGCTGCGAAGCCATGTTTCTTTGAAGACTGGCTCTTTGGTCTTGCTATGTCAGAATTGTTGTCCGTCCCGCAGCAAACATTTTACTAGATCTAGATAGATCTAGCTGCTATACAGCACATAGTTCATGTCCATCCATGTCCACAACTAGGGGTGGCACCCTCTGAAGTACCGACTGCTCCTTGCCAAGAACAGACTCGGATCTGACAGACTTCGAGGACTTCAAGGACCTTCCAGAGGCTCTGGAGATCGAGGCTCGTCCTCTTTTTGCGGAGCCTCTCGATGCTCTCGTCGATGTCTTCGAGAGCCGTGCTGAAGCCCGAAGCGAGCGGATCCATCCAGGCTCACAGCTAGCCATTCTAGCTGAGTGAGCTGCAAGCCAAGCAGAAACCCTTGAACCAAATCTACAAAGCCATCAAAAGCGACCTTTTCCAGCCTCTTCCCGCTGATGGGCTGGTTGCCGGATCGCGACCCCCTACAGCCGACTTACCGAGGGTGACCACCCGGACGAATGACCGGACGTACGCGGACGGAGGTTCTCCGGGCTCCTCCACCTTTCCTCAAGCTCCTGAGCCTCCATGCGCTTGGTGCAAACCTCAGGGCGGCCGTGGCTTGGGTCGCTCAAAACATGCCAATACTGAGTACTATGACAGTAAGAATCCAACTGGAACCAATGATTCCAATTGTGTGGTTTCGTGGATGGCCGGTCTTCACCCAATAAATAGCTTCATGACCCTTCCAGTTCCGCCATCTCCATTGATGTGTTTCTTCTTCCGGAATCTTGCAGTGGTTTCAGAGTAGATGGCACAAACCCGAAGATGTCTTTTAGATGGGGATCATTGGGGATCCATATAAACCACCTTTTGGGGGTTGTGCCATCTATTCTGAAACCACTATACCAAGATCTTATTGTCCTTGATCTGATCTCGGTTCCCTGACTTCGCCACGGGCCGTCCGCATCGTGCGCCAATCTCTCAGCGCTTCGGCCAGATCTCCTGGAACATGGATTCAAATTGACGGGTCATCTGACCGGTTCAAAATGACTCCACTTCTGATATCACCTCGATACAGTAGAAAATAAACATGGTAAACACTCCACACTAAGACCTGACGCTTTCACACGGTCTACTACCTCCACCTCCAGCCTACAACTTCAAAGCTGAAGCTCCTTTCAGCGGTGTAGACAGCCGCACACTGCGGGAGAACGTGATTCGCCTCACCACTGAGCAGCAGTCCACAAAATGAAACAAAGGCGTCTCCCTTCACGAAGCACACTTCAATGTCCTTGAGACTGTCACGAACGAAAAAGCAGCAGCGACGGTGATGCAGGATTGCCTCCAGCCTCAACAGTTGCGGCCTATTTAAAATAAAAAAACGTGAGCGCAGTCCATATAGAAAGTTCGAAGGCGCAGTGCTCCTGCCTTGGCGACAAAATCTGCCACGGCATCTTCGAAGTCCAAACCTCTTGAGCTCGTGAGGTCACTTGGTGCTCAGTAGAGTTGATGGGATGTTGAAGCCGAACTGCAAATGAAGCAAATCGCACAGGTGTTGCGCAGTGAACCTAGCAACATGTCCTCTAAAGCTGATTCACCCACCCCAAATCAGCAGTACACTGTCTCATGCACAGGATCTGTCTCATCCTTTCGGTCGAGAGATCCCAGGATACCCCAAGTACCACCCTAGGGGTGATCACAATTGAAGGAATGCGTCAAAGCGATGTCCAAAGCGAATGACACTGAACGTCGGTGAATGGCACCGCCTGCTGATGTTGGCAGCGCCTGAAAGAGCAAATTAGATCCTCAGAGAATCATGCACTTGATAATGCTGAGGTTTTTGCAAGCATGGCAACAGATTCTCTCAGGCTCTTCAATACCTGCAGCGGAAACTAAACAAGCCAAGGTGGATGTCTTGGAAACGATATGCCATATGCTCCAGGTATGATACTATCATGATCAAAGAGCATCAAACATGGTTACAGCTACAGCAATACATACGTTTCAATAAACAAACATTAGATCATGTCGTGCCAGTTTGCAGCTTTCTTCAGCAAAACATGCGCTTCGGCTTCAAATTCGGGGTACTGAACTACTCTCGCGCTGCACAAAGGACTCAAGACCAGCCCCTGTGGAAAACAAACGCCAAAACAATCGAGCTTGGAAAAGCAAGACCTTTGACAATGAATAGAACAACACAGTATACACAGTGCAGACTGGCAGGTAGAGCAAGTATGCATAGATTCGGATAGATATATATAGATAGCAATCTTTTGTCCTCAAGTACTTCCAAATCCAAGCTCTTCTGTCACAGAAAACTGGAACAAAGCAATGCCTCATTTGGCATTGCAGCCTGTACAAAGCCCAGAAAATGCAAAAAATAAATGCCATAGCACCTGTCCTTTGGACTCGACAAAGATCAAAGATCTCGTTGTTTCAAGCCTGCAAACTCAGCATGGCAACAAGAAGTTGAATGAATTCAATGACTGACAATTCAAGCAAGTGGTGGTTCAGGTGATGTAGTAGCAAAGGCATTCACAAACGGGCCTCTCCGCGCTAACGCCTGAGTGAAATGTCTGGAAAATTCAAGAAATGCTGCAAGCAGCTTGCAGTCTCTACAACGGCTTTGATTCTCCTCAAAAAGCTCCGGGGTATCGACAGCGTTGCCTCTACTTCCTGCAAATCGAACAAATTCGGAAACACCCTCCAGGGGGGAATCAACCTGTCGTGAAACTACTAGACACTCAAGTTCGTGTCCTGATACAAGCATCTTTAACATCCGTTCACATTCTCGAGTGAAGGGGGAGCGTCCTCATTCGTTGTCAGAATCTGGATCGTCTTCCACCACCTCAATCAGCAAACGAACGAAAGCCCTCAATCAGCCGAACGCCCCTCAGGGCGTCCCATCCTTCCCATCCCTATGTGCGGCACAGAGATGTTTTTGAGCTCCATCCACCTGAGTGACACTTGACATGAAAAGCGACGAAGTCGGAGTTGATCTGGCGAGGCGGGTCGCAAGGATGGTCGGTGTCCTACGGTGGTTCGGTGATGACCGGTGGTTCACTCGGGGTCACGACCCATCCACGGAAACAAGGCGACTGGTCAGCTTGATTTCTGCTGTCCAGTAGCGTTTGGATGTGCTTATCGTCATCCAGGTCATCACCTGAGGATATGCTTATCATTTCGTTTGAGCATTCTTTTTGCGCGGTGATGTTTAGTATTCTTTTGCAGATCTCAATACAAGGGGGAACAAAAATAACCTGTCCAGCAAAGGTACAGGTCATGTCAGTGAACCCAAAGTGCTCATAGAAAGGAACAGCTTCATCCAGCGCGCTGAGGGAGATCCTCGTTCGGGTCTGAATCCGGTCGGGCGAGGCGATCCTCATTCGGTCTGAAGGACCGGTTTCTTCTTGAATCCGGACGGGCGCGGAGTCTTTGGTTTTGGACCTGGGGCGGACGGGGACGGAGTCTTTTTCTTTGCCAAAGAAAGATGAAGGAAGAGCTCATGTCGCACATCAGTCATCTGTGACCTTGTGTGCGACTGAAGCTGAAGCTCCAAACAAACTCATTTGTTGTGCTTTCATAGAGGTTTTAATTGCAGAAACTTGCAGAAAAAAGGTACAATGATCTGAGAATCTGGGTTCTAGCCCACTATGGGGAAAGTATGCCCACAAATCCGTAGTGCATAGTCCACTTCACCTGCCTAGCATCCAGGTTGTACAGTACAACTAACTAACCTGCTTTCAGTTCACCAGTGGTTAGCCGCTTTCATGCCACCGTCCACTGGCCCCGGGCTGTCCATGCACAAGTGGATCGAGGCAGAAATGAACACTTCTCAAGCGCCCATTGCATGAAGTGCTTGCCATAGCCTTTTCCACGGCTCCTATGCAGAAACTTGGACTCCCAAGCTTGGTCAACCACTCAACTAGACTAAATCTGTATGAACTTGAACTTGGCGTTCAAGCAAAACTCATTTCAGATCCAATGAGGACGGCTTCATTGAATCATTCAAAGAGAATAGAATATACTGTAGGCGTTAAATACTAGCATAGTAGCCAATTCGAGGTGCAATCCCCGTGTCCTGGCAATCACAGCAATCCGTGCAATGTGAAATTCAGAGTTCTTCGCGCTCAACTGATAGCACATGAAGCCGCAAAAACGACTTGCATCACAAGCTGCTTGATCGACCAGGAGGCAAAGCGACCAGCCTGAACAATATGGCCACTAGCACAACATCATGTCTTAACTGTGACACGCGAAAGGAATTTTGCACATCATGACAGCATATTTGCACATCTCAGAGAAATACCAAGCAAATTATATAAATCTCATGGATTCAACACACGGTGTTTTTTCTGAACTGTCCCGTCCCGCCACTGCATGGCACTGACTGTCCGCTCCGTCAGCAATCGAGTGTTCAATATCGCCTCTGGATCCGGACTTCTCCACGCTGTCTTCACCAAAAAATGCTTCAGCGGAAAGCTCCCGGACCTTTTGCAACATTTGCTCCAGCTCATCAGTCTTTGTTGCATTCAGCCTGATTCGAGGGTGACTGAAACATGCAACTGATTGAGGGATCTTTTGCTACACCTCACACGCCAAATCTGTTGCCGCACTTGCCGAGAAACACATCTTCCACAATTGTCAAATCTTGCTTTATCGGCTCCTGCAATGCTGAGCAATGATTTCTTTCTGTGGTAGAAATGAGCGGTGCTAGACACATGTTGACCATAGTCACATGCGGGAAAACCCAGGTCTCAAAAAAGCTTATTGAACAACATGCAGAACACTCTTCACCTGTATAAGCATTGATATTATGGGTGCAGGACCTGCACGTGGCAAACATACACATGCTCCTTTCCATCTTTGCCATGAGCCCTTGAATTGTTCGTCACATGCTCTTGGTCTTTTTGATGTGACGATCTAATACATGTTGTAAATGCAATGTTGCATATTATGCATCTATATATGGTGCAAAACACAGGTGATTGTTTTATGAAAACACATCAAAGTACAGTCAACACTTTGAAGGGCCGGCTAGGGCATGCTCCGGCAGTGTACCAGAGAGTGTGTTCATATATATATATATATATTCTAGACAGAGACTTCAACTTGTTTATATACAAAATTTGTAAAGAAGCAGTGATGACTTTCGACATTCAAATCTGCAACTTATGAACGAAAGGAAAGGGTAATGGTCAACGGGCACATATTCAACTGTAATCTCCTGCCAAAGCCAGCTTCCTCCCTGCCGCCAGCGCTGTGAGCACATTTCTTTAATCGCTTCAGACTCCTTCACAAAGGTTTGCGCACCCAAGAGCCACTTTCCTAATGAATGTAATGCGCGTTCCCTGTGTAAAATCAGTCTTCAAACTGCGCAAGGTCAGTCTTCGCCAACTCCTCGTCCACCACCAGGACAATAGCGCCACGGAAGCCACGCAAAGCTTCTTTCGCCTGAGCCAGATATGGCGAGGAGGCTGTCTTCCGTGAGCCCAGACGGCCCTGTCGTGTACCCCCAAAAGGACGTGCTGTCATCAGTGGTATTCAACGAAGACCTTTGACATCCTCTGACTCTTTCTAAAGAAGGACTTTAAATCCACAATGCTTTTTGCATGGCTTCCTTTGGCACGACAAGATGGCACAGGTACTTGAATGCCTGCAGCAGCATCTGGAATGCAGCGGTCCAGGAAGCATTTCCCTGTGAGTCCAAAACCACCACCTGCGGCCTGAGGGAGGTTGCAATCCTTTGAACATCCACACATAACAGCGCATAAACATATTCCAGCCTACCTGTCCCCAATATCACACAACACTAAACCATACAACACCTACGTACATGTATATAGTCTGTGATGTATATTGTGCGTAGTTGCTGGTGGTATTCTCAGTATCCTGGTGGTTTTGTGTTGGGTAATGACGTTTGTTTGGATTTCAATGGTTCTAAGGAGCTTTCCTTGGTCGTTGGGTTTCTCAGGCTGCAGGCGGTTGGTCTTCTGAAGGTAACGGTAACGCTATTTGTACTCTTGTTTCTAATAGCTTCTTGTTCCTAGTAGTATGGCCAGGAGCCCCTAGTAGCGTCCTTGCTCCTAGTAGCAATGCCAGGAGCCCCTAGTAGCGAACATTGCTCCTACCCCCCCCCCCGCGCGATTTCCGGTCGCTTTTCCAATTCAAGGATGATCTGATGCCTCCATGTTCGTTTTGGTCTGTGTTGTCGTTGGTGGTTGTCTTCGTCTTGTCTCTCGGTGGTTTACGATCGCACCGTGCGGTGGGTAAAATTTGAGCGACTCCTGGGACACAGCGACTCGTTAAAGAGCAAGACGGTGGTCGTGCAAACCGTTTGCAGCGCGGTTTGTAGCACTTGAAGAGCACGTTCTTTTGTTGCGTGATCTTTAGCTAGCCAGTAGGAAGACTTGTTGAGGACAAGTGTCAGAAGCATTGATAGGTGCACTGTTTGTGCCATCTCAGCGAAAGCTTTGATGGTGCTCTGTGCTGGCCAAAGGCCGCTGTATCAGTCTCTTGGCATTGATTGCCATCAAGTGTCACACCAGAATAAACAGTTCACAAGTCTGATTACACATGCGCAAGAGTTGCCAAAGAAAGGAAGTCAAAGATGGGGGGTGACTCCGATGTGAATCCAGCTTAGAAACTACGAGTGTCCAGTACATGTACAAAAGGACTCTGACAGGAAAGAATCCTGACAACGCACTGAGTGCACTTGGACAGCTAGCATCTCATCTGTGAAAAATCATATTGAATAGTTTTGCGAACGGCATATTGGAGCACTTTTGGACAGATGCTGAATATTGCGGAATACTATTGGACAATTTACACACGAAGCAAAACAATACCAGAGGCCTCAAAGCGCCATGACAACCTGGCGAGCCTCCCTTGAAGGCCGGCCGCAAAACTCAATTTTGTCACACTTCGCACATTCTCTTGTGAAGCAACCACCCGTCCAAAACCCGTTGATATTCCATCAATGCTTCTTGAGTGGCAGAGTGGCACGGGCACCAGCCCTTGCTTTTCCGTCCACTTTCAAACTCGATGTTTTAACCTGTTTGGAACCTAGTCTTCAATGATCTGCAATGGTCTTTTTGTGGTTTCTGAGATGAGACATACGATGAAGCTAAGAACGCCAACTGCAAGAAAAAATGTCTAGAATCCAAACACAATCACTTATTGCACTATATATTTTTTGAAACGTTAATTTTAATGCTGGGTTCACATTGCCCACCGCCAGCATGTCGAGCCTGGTCTCCAAGATGGACTTTACAGCTTCTAAGTGTTCACCAACTGTGGCCTCATCACCAGCCAAATTGGAAGACAAATGCGCGACTTGCAGCTCTTCGTGGCGGTGCACCTGCAGGCAGTCTGTTTGCTCTTTTGCCGTGCCATGCGAACCATTTGTTTTGACCTCTGCTTAAACCATTTGCAAGTGGTTCTTGCTGTTTGCCACCTGCAGCAACCTAGTGCTTTTTTCTGGTTTTACCCCCAGCTTCTGTCGAACATGTTTGAACGTTGTGCAGCCCGCAGGGCCCGCACCTGGCCCTTGAGCGGGCGACCCAGGAGCAACTCCACAGCCACACGGCCACCGGAGCCAAGCGCAGAAATGCGGCTCTCAAGGCTCACTTTGAGGCCTTGAGTCGTCGGTTTGAGCGTTTTGGGGTGAATGCGTCTTGATAAAAGGGAACTGGAAAACTGCTGTGAAGGTCTAAGCAACCATCATGTAAGTAAGACCGCCTTTAAAGGCCTTATTTCAGGGGGGCGTTACCCGCCTTAGCCGCCCGCTCTTTTTATTTGTTTAAATAGACCTTTCAAGATTTGCCTGGCTTCATGTTGCTTCAGATTCGACGTGGGGGTCACACTTTCTGCAATAAGCTCATTAGCAGATTGTTACTTTCTGTGACATGTGCTGAATTGTCTTTGAACTGCTTAATGGTACTGATGAACGTGGCAGAAGACATGAACACTTTATATATATATATAATATTATATAAGTAAAGAGCCCGAAGATAGGTTGCAGCTTGCTCAAACAGGTGCTCTGTAACTTCAACGAAACTCAGTGCACAAGGATACGTATTGGAATCAAACGTGCATACCAAGCTGGGCGTATTTGAGATCATAGAGGTGGAAGCAAAATGAAAGGACACGAAAAAAGAAGCTGGCTTGCTAGGACGAAGCCTGGTGCAAGGGCGCCTGAAGTGCACCAAGTATGATGTCAGAATCAAGGCTGCCCTCTGTAGGCTGAGAAACTTGTGAGATTTGGATGGTCTCTGAATGTTGCTTCTTCGCTCGCTCTGCTTCAAGTAATTCAACACACACACACACAAAACACATGATCTTCCACCACTACTTCTTTCAAGGTGTGTGTGTGTGTCTCACGCACTCTGAGTGTGTGAGTGTGTGCGTCATGACCCTGAGAGAAATGCTTGCTCTTTGGAGTCACACGAACACCTGGAGTTAGAAAGGCTCAGTAGCTTTGACCACATGGTCGCGTGCGACGGGGGGGACACATGCGAGATGTTATTGATCAAGATATTTTGGCACGAACATGCACACGCAGTATCAGTTCATGTCAATTTCAACTGTTGAGTGCAAATGTCCAACTCAGATTGTGACCTGAAACACGATGAATACCAGCATTGCTGGCTGCGTCCATTGAACCCAATGGAATTTCAAAAACCGCTCGCTTTCGCGACTTCACACCAGAGAGTTCTCTGGGTGCTTGCCACATTGCATCATGCAAGATGGTCATGGCTCCAGAACTACCGGCCTCTAAGGCACCCAAGCCCCAAAAAGAAGCCTGTTTGAGAGCACAGGATACCAAGCGGTGCTGTTACCAAGCGGTGCTGTTACCAAGCGGTGACCCTTTACGCAGCCGCCAAGGTGCCGCCAAGTTATTTGGGAGGGTCCATGGGGCTGGTGAGGGCAGCATAGCAGTATAGCCTTTCCATGCTTCATGGACGTTTGTTGGTGTTTTATGGTTCTTTTTCTGTGCCCCCCAAAGCTTTTCAGCCACTTTGGTTCAAACCCTATGGCTTGAGCCGGCAGGGGATGTCGAATATCGTCGTTTCCTCTGACCAGGCCGCCGCCCTTGCTACCGCGCGTCACTGTCAAGGCCTGTTGAGAAGCAACCGAAAGTTTGGCTTGAGCATAAAAGCCACGACCTGGCAAAGGTGAGCAAGTCGCGGTTGCGCGTTCCATTCAGTGATGTCCGCACCCGGCCTAGGTGCACCACATGGCGCCCAGAAGAGGTCCCTGGACTACGCAAGAAGGTCAATGGCGAATGCTGGGCCCCCAGCAGAGCACTGCTCCGCGTGCCTCTTTCACAGCAGTCTTGCTCAACAAGCCGCTTGGCCTAAACAACGAGCATCAGAACACATCAGAACCAGGTGGTGAACATTGGTGAACGCTGCTTGGACGTCTGATCCGACGTCAAATGCCTGGCTGCTCTGAAGAGTCCTCCTCTTGCGGAGTCCTGAAGCCAGTGCAATCCATGGTGAGATCACAGAAATGTGAGAAAACATGTCAAAAAGTATGTTGATGGCTCTTGCATAGTGTCCTTGAGGCTTCAAGTTTGCTTTGCACCCTGCAGTAGCCTTGGATACATTACGTGCACTAAGTCTACTACTGCTGCCAAACCGCCCACGGATCATAGAAACTTTCACTTTGACAAGGATGCAATTCAGCCTTGGCTTAGCAAAGGTTGAAACACGCTTTTTGAGCATCCACTGCTCAAGTGCAAGGCGCTGTGCCTGTCAAGTCCGACTCTCAACAACTCTTGGAGGGACGAAACATCACAGAGCCAAACGCAATGTCCATCAACCTCCACAAAGAAACACACAATTTACATTGTGTTGTAGTGACCTTATTATATACATGTGTGTAATATTGAGTAGTTACTTAGGTGTCCTGTTCTCGACAGCTCAGGATCAACATGGATCAACCATGCCTGTGTGAGTTTGTCTTGAATGACCATGAGCCGCTCTTCCGGTCCCAGTGCTTGGAGCAGGGCCTCAGTTCCGGGCGTAGCGGTCGCGGTGACCCGTTTTGCCGGAACGGTTTCGCGGTGACCCGAGCAGTTGACGAGGCAAACAGGACGACCCTTGGGCGACCTCTTGGGCGCTTTTGGGTCCGTGAATGTGAGCAAACTTACGCAGCACTGCACTGTTTGCTTTATTGGATGTTTGTTGTGTGTTCATGTGGTGAGCTAACAGAATGGAAAACACCATGATATCAGGGGAAATACAATCTCACTGGCTTCATGAACATGTGGAATCGCTTCGGAACAATGAATCGCTCTCCAACAACGACGGGCCGACGGGCATCTACGAGCATATCGCATCAATCGCATTGAGTGACGGTGTGCGCGGAATCAAACTGCTTGCGGAATCGAATCGAATTCAAAGTGTCAATGCAACGATCGGCCTTCGCTTCAACCGTTGCCCGTTGCCTCAACCCTGTCCGTTGCCTATGCATGTCAGCATGCACCGAGGCCCCACACGACAAGGCGGTGCATCGGCATCTTCTGGCCAATTGTTATACCCCGGGACAACTTAGAAGCGCTATTAGTTTATGTATAATCAATATATATTTATATATATGACATATATATATATATATATCACAGTTTGCTTGAAGCCGACACACCAACCAATTGACTTTCGCAGCGGACTTGATATTCTTGCAAACTGACTGAAGAAGCCAAGCGGCTGTGTGACTCATCCGTTCCAAGTTGCACCTGCGCTATGCCAAACCCTGATATATGACACATTTACTTAAAGGCCTTTTTGGATCCAAGCTGCATTACCGCTTCCGGTGAATCCGCCGCCGAATCCGCCGTTCCTCAGACATGTGCAAGTACAGGATCTCTTTCCCAAGGACCAAGGAGCTAGTGTTCCTTTTGGCGTTGTTTCTTGGAAGAAAAAGTTGGCTGTTGCTAAGCTGTTCTGCCAAGTGCTTGCACAATCGTTCTGCTATGCTGTGCTCGGCTGTTTGTCCCAACGAGGGAAAATTCTGACACTGGGAACCCCAGCATCGAGCCGAATCCGCAGAACCTGCAGAGAGAGGACACCGAGAGACGTGGAGACGTGAGCATAGAGAGATGTGTATTACAATAGGGAGACCTCCCAGGCGTTCCGACCCCTGGAAGAAGGGAAATAGGCCAAACCCATTGGTTGGGGGTCTCGCTATTAAAATACACACCCATACATGATTCTGAGGTAACCCTAAATGTAATGTTGGCCAGACTTGTCAGTCGAGGTGCTGGAGCTCGTGGAGAAAGCGAAGACAATGGAGCGTTCATAGTCAAGGCAAACATTGAATCCATGATGACCTCAGATTCAATCAGCGGGCTTTATGTTGGAGGAGGGGTAAAACCCGAATTCATGGAATATATTTTAATATACCCAAATTGCTCGATGCCGCCTCCGACGCAAAATAGAATGCTCAGTGGACGCAACAATGTGAAGCTTAGATGCGAACAGCTGGTACAGCCCGCGGGCAAAGAAGAGTCTCTTTTTGCTCAAGCCACAATTTTACAAGAACAATCTCTGAAAACAACTGACGCCACCAGATCAGCTTGCTATTCCAGTGCGAGTCCTTGCTCTGCAGAAGAAGAACATGAGTTTCACAAAGAAATCCTTGCTCTGCAGAATTCCAATATCGAATGACAACGCTTCTCTTTCGGTCACCATGAGTGTGTGATGACACGGTCTTTGAAGCGGCTTCCAACGTGAAACAAAGCGTGATGTTGATGCGGTCCCATCAACCAACCCCCACGGTTGCTCGGCATTGCAAGCCATGTGTGCTAAACAATCGAATCGCTGTATCAGCGCTCAAAGACAGATCCGACCCTCCGCACACGACTGCGAAGCTACTAGGAGCAAAACGCGACTTGCGAAGATGACACGTGGCACACTCATCTGCCAGCAGTATCACTCCACGTTCGCACGATGTGCTTCAGTTGGTACATTCCGACGTGCTGTTGAAGGACAAACTTGTACACTACCCAAGTAAGAAGCAAACATCCTTCTTTCTCCCCTGCCATGGACTGTTAATTATTTGATACTATTTGTGTACCTTTATGTACAGAGTCAATGGAAACTCTGCGTCGGCATCGACTCCTCTCTCACAGGGATTTGATCTTCGGGAAAAGCTCCAGGCCTCAGGATCAAAGTCAGGCTCTGTGCATCAACAGCTCCGCTTGAAAAAACTTAAATGATTTGATTTATATATTTCTTTTAGAGGGGTAGGCCGCTAGTAGAGACAGGTTAGCCAGCTAGGTAGTGAGTGGTAGCTAATAGGGAGAGGTAGCCACTACCTGCAAGTAGCTACTGCCGACAGGACGCAGGATAGCGCTCGCACTAATGTGCACTAATGATTTGGTTCCTAGATTGTTAGGGAAACTTAACATTAGCCGACACGTAATTGATTCATCTGAACTCAAGTGCTAGATGTATCTTTTCTGCTACTGCTACAAGCACTTTTGCACAAGAGAGAAAGCACTCGAACCATCAACACCATCACTCAGTTGAGGCGTAGCCGAAACGATGACAAACCGAATACTGTATACAATTACATATGAACACTGTGCACAAGAAGGTACTTGAGGCCAGGGGGAGGAGGTCGAAAGCTAGCCGAATCGCACCGGATGTACTAGTTACATAGTCCGCAAAGCACGTAGTGATTACATGTTTTGGGAGAAAGGTTGCTACGTACACACTTTGCGCTAAAGAATGTAAATGTGACATCGCCGACTGGGAAGGGTACATTGGAACAACACGGGTGCACTCGTTGGCAGGCACGAAGATGCGTGATCGGCAAATCTGGGGGGTAAATTTACCCCCCGCTTTTGTATGCCTTGAGTCGGAAAGAGGGGTAAGCATTTCTGACATCACACGGACTGTACATACACTAGGGCGTCCGTAGTGTAGGAGAAGCACGGGTAAAAGGTATATGGAATAGAGTGTCTTGAGGAAATAGCCGGCTTATGGTTATTGCAATTCTGGGGGGTAAATTTACCCCCCGCTTATGTATGCCTTGTGCCGGAAAGAGGGGTAAGCATTTTTGGCATCACAAGGACTGTGCATACACAAGGGCGTCCGTAGTGTAGGATAAGCACTGGTAAAAGGTATAAGGAGTAGAGTGTCTTGAGCAAACAGCCGGCTTATGGTTATGGCAAATCTGGAGGGTAAATTTACCCCCCGCTTATGCATGCATTAGGCTAGAAATAGGGTAAAGAACTTGTAGCAGTGAAGTACAAGGCCTATGCAGCAAGCAGCAGCCAGCAGCAGCAACAGCAGCCGCTGCAGCAGCCAGCAGCCAGCAGCCAGCAGCAACCACCAACCAGCCAGCAGCAGCAGCGCAGCACCAAGCAGCACCACCACCAGCAGCAAGCAGCAAGCAGCAAGCAGCAAGCAGCAGCAGCAAGCAGCAAGCAGCAAGCAGCGAGCAGCAGCAGCAGCAGCAAGCAGCAGCAGCGGCGTCGTCAGCAACAGCAGCAGCGGCACCAAGCCGCAACAACTAGCAAAGCAGCAGCTACAAAAGCGGCAACCAGCGGCAGCAGCAAACAGCAGCAGCAAGCAGCAGAGCGGCAGCAGCAGCACCGTTTACACCAAGCCACCGTTTACACCCAACCAACCACGTTCACACGTTCAACCAACCCCCGCTACACGGCGCAGCTGGGAGTCGAACCATGGGGGGGAGGGGGGGGTTAGCGTGATAGATCAAGCTTTAAAGCACACAGCTCATCCCACTACCAATTGCTAAAGCAAAGAAGAACTCAGCTAGCATGCTAGCTTTCGTGATCAAGCTTTAAGGCACACAGCTCATTCCACTTCCAACTGCTAAAGCAAAGAAGAACTCAGCTAGCATGCTAGCTTTCGTGATTACCTACCGCTTTTGTATGCCTTGGGCCTTGGGTAGGAAAGAGGGGTGAGCATGTCTGACATCACACGGACTGTACATACACTAGGGTGTCCGTAGTGTAGGATAAACATTGGTAAAAGGTATAAGGAATAGAGTGTCTTGGAGCAATAGCCGGCTTATGGTTATGGCAAATTTGGAGGGTAAATTTACCTCCCGCTTTCGTATGCCTTGGGTCGGAAAGAGGGGTCAGCGTTTCTTGCACCACAAGGAGTGTACATACATTAGAGCGTCCATAGTGTAGGATAAGCACTGGTAAAAGGTATGAGGAATAGAGTGTCTTCAAGAAATAGCCGGTAGCAAATTTGGTGGGTATGGATACAATCAACAGTTTTGCCAATCTCACATGTCCAAGACAGTACATTCAAACACTTTACTCTCAGGTATTGAAGATTCATCAACTGACGAGGCGCAGCCAAAATGTTATGTGATGCATCCACAAGAAGAAGACGAGCAAATGACCATGCTTCCGACGAAGCTGACCATGCTTCCGACAAAGCTCGTCAATGAATCCTAAATACAAACACTAAGAGTGTCTAGATGAAATAGCTGGTTTACTGTTATGGTAAATCTGGAGGGTAAATTTACCCACCGCTTTTGTATGCCTTGGGTTGGAAAGAGGGGTGAGCATTTCCGACATCACACGGACTGTACATACACTAGGGCGTCCGTAGTGTAGGATAAACACTGGTAAAAGGTATAAGGAATAGAGTGTCTTGGGGCAATAGCCGGTAGCAAATCTGGCGGGTATGGATACAATCAACAATTTTGCCAAACCACACACATGTCGAAGACAGTAAATTCAAACACTTTGCTCTCAGGTATTGAAGATGCATCAACTGACGAGGCGCAGCCGAAATGTTATGTGATGCATCCACAAGAAAAAAGCAACAAATGATCGTGCTTCCGACGAAGCTGACCATGCTTCCGACAAAGCTCCTCAATGAATCCTAAATACAAACACTAAATCAGTGGATGTTTTGCAAAAACGCATGCAAAATCCCATGAGTGTCATCTTGATTCTCCAATAATTACGTGTGGTTCCGCTACCCAGGATCATCCAAAATTCAAGTGCATGATGTCTTTGACATCCTGGTTTTGAATGCACACCCCAAAATCAAACATACCAAACAAAACACCAACAATTTCCAACATGTAACAACACCTCCACTAATGCCAAAACGC